ATATGGTGACGGATGGATGTATGATGGATGGATTGATGAATGGATAATGATAGATGGATGATTGATGGATGGAATGATGAATGGATGGTGACAGAAGGATATATGGTGACAGATGGATGGAATGATGAATGGATGATGACAGATGGATGATTGATGGATGGAAGATGAAAGGATGATGACAGATGGATGTATGATGAATGGATGAAGACAGATGGATGATTGATGGATGGAATGATGCATGGATGATGACAGATGGATATATGGTGACGGATGGATGTATGATGGATGGATTGATGAATGGATAATGATAGATGGATGATTGATGGATGTATGATGAATGGATGATGACAGAAGGATATATGGTGACAGATGGATGTATGATGAATGGATGATGACAGATGGATGATTGATGGATGGAAGATGAAAGGATGATGACAGATGGATGTATGATGAATGGATGATGACAGAAGGATATATGGTGACAGATGGATGGAATGATGAATGGATGATGACAGATGGATGATTGATGGATGGAATGATGAAAGGATGATGACAGATGGATGATTGATGAATGGATGATGACAGATGGATATATGGTGACAGATAGATGTATGATGGATGGAATGATGAATGGATGATGACAGATGGATATATGGTGACAGATGGATGTATGATGGATGGATTGATGAATGGATGATGACAGGTGGATGATTGATGGATGGGATGATGAATGGATGATGACAGATGGATGTATGATGGATGGATTGATGAATGGATGATGACAGATGGATGATTGATGGATGGAATGATGCATGGATGGTGACAGATGGATGTATGATGGATGGATTGATGAATGGATGATGACAGATGGATGGAATGATGAATGGATGATGATAGATGGATGATTGATGGATGTATGATGACAGATGGATGTATGATGGATGGATTGATGAATGGATGATGACAGATGGATGTATGATGAATGGATGATGACAGATGGATGATTGATGTATGTTTGATGGATGGAATGATGAATGGATGATGACAGATGGATGTATGATGAATGGATGATGAATGGATGATGACAGATGGATGATTGATGAATGGATGGTGACAGATGTATATATGGTGACAGATGGATGGATTGATGAATGGATGATGATAGATGGATGATTGATGGATGGAATGATGAATGGATGGTGACAGATGGATGTATGATGGATGGATGATGACAGATGGATGGAATGATGAATGGATGATGACAGATGGATGATGACAGATGGATGGAATGATGAATGGATGATGACAGATGGATGATTGATGGATGGAATGATGAATGGATGATGACAGATGGATGATTGATGGATGGAATGATGAATGGATGATGACAGATGGATGATTGATGGTTGGAATGATGAATGGATGATGACAGATGGATGGAATGATGAATGGATGATGACAGATGGATGGAATGATGAATGGATGATGACAGATGGATGATTGATGGATGGAATGATGAATGGATGATGACAGATGGATGATTGATGAATGGAATGATGAATGGATGATGACAGATGGATGATTGATGGATGGATGATGACAGATGGATGTATGATGGATGGATGATGACAGATGGATGGAATGATGAATGGATGATGACAGATGGATGTATGATGAATGGATGATGACAGATGGATGATTGATGGATGGATGGTGACAGATGGATGACAGATGTATGTATGATGAATGGATGATGACAGATGGATGATTGATGAATGGATGATGACAGATGTATGTATGATGAATGGATGATGAATGGATGATGACAGATGGATGATTGATGGATGATTGATGAATGGATGGTGACAGATGTATATATGGTGACAGATGGATGGATTGATGAATGGATGATGATAGATGGATGATTGATGGATGGAATGATGAATGGATGGTGACAGATGGATGTATGATGGATGGATGATGACAGATGGATGGAATGATGAATGGATGATGACAGATGGATGATTGATGGATGGAATGATGAATGGATGGTGACAGATGGATGTATGATGGATGTATGATGACAGATGGATGGAATGATGAATGGATGATGACAGATGGATGATTGATGGATGGAATGATGAATGGATGATGACAGATGGATGATTGATGGATGGAATGATGAATGGATGATGACAGATGGATGATTGATGGTTGGAATGATGAATGGATGATGACAGATGGATGGAATGATGAATGGATGATGACAGATGGATGGAATGATGAATGGATGATGACAGATGGATGATTGATGGATGGAATGATGAATGGATGATGACAGATGGATGATTGATGAATGGAATGATGAATGGATGATGACAGATGGATGATTGATGGTGGATTGATGAATGGATGATGACAGATGGATGTATGATGGATGGATGATGACAGATGGATGTATGATGGATGGATGATGACAGATGGATGTATGATGACAGATGGATGGAATGATGAATGGATGATGACAGATGGATGTATGATGAATGGATGATGACAGATGGATGATTGATGGATGGATGGTGACAGATGGATGACAGATGGATGTATGATGAATGGATGATGACAGATGGATGGAATGATGAATGGATGATGATAGATGGATGATTGATGGATGGATGATGACAGATGGATGATTGATGGATGGATGTATGATGGATGGATGATGAGAGATGGATGACAGATGGATGGAATGATGAATGGATGATGACAGATGGATGATTAATGGTTGGAATGATGAATGGATGATGACAGATGGATGGAATGATGAAAGGATGATGACAGATGGATGGAATGATGAATGGATGATGACAGATGGATGATTGATGGATGGAATGATGAATGGATGATGACAGATGGATGATTGATGAATGGAATGATGAATGGATGATGACAGATGGATGATTGATGGAGGGATTGATGAATGGATGATGACAGATGGATGTATGATGGATGGATGATGACAGATGGATGTATGATGGATGGATGATGACAGATGGATGTATGATGGATGGATGATGACAGATGGATGATTGATGGATGGATGGTGACAGATGGATGACAGATGGATGTATGATGAATGGATGATGACAGAGGGATGATTGATGAATGGATGATGACAGATGGATGTATGATGAATGGATGATGAATGGATGATGACAGATGGATGATTGATGGATGATTGATGAATGGATGGTGACAGATGTATATATGGTGACAGATGGATGGATTGATGAATGGATGATGATAGATGGATGATTGATGGATGGAATGATGAATGGATGGTGACAGATGGATGTATGATGGATGTATGATGACAGATGGATGGAATGATGAATGGATGATGACAGATGGATGATTGATGGATGGAATGATGAATGGATGATGACAGATGGATGATTGATGGATGGAATGATGAATGGATGATGACAGATGGATGATTGATGGATGGAATGATGAATGGATGATGACAGATGGATGATTGATGGTTGGAATGATGAATGGATGATGACAGATGGATGGAATGATGAATGGATGATGACAGATGGATGGAATGATGAATGGATGATGACAGATGGATGATTGATGGATGGAATGATGAATGGATGATGACATATGGATGATTGATGAATGGAATGATGAATGGATGATGACATATGGATGATTGATGGATGGATTGATGAATGGATGATGACAGATGGATGTATGATGGATGGATGATGACAGATGGATGTATGATGGATGGATGATGACAGATGGATGTATGATGAATGGATGATGACAGATGTATGTATGATGACAGATGGATGATTGAAGGATGGATGGTGACAGATGGATGACAGATGGATGTATGATTAATGGATGATGACAGATGGATGATTGATGAATGGATGATGACAGATGGATGATTGATGGATGGATGATGACAGATGGATGGAATGATGAATGGATGATGGCAGATGGATGATTGATGGATGGATGATGACATATGGATGATTGATGGATGGATGTATGATGAATGGATGATGACAGATGGATGATTGATGGATGGATGATGACAGATGGATGGAATGATGAATGGATGATGACAGATGGATGATTGATGGATGGATGATGACATATGGATGATTGATGAATGGATGATGACAGATGGATGATTGATGGATGGATGATGACAGATGGATGGAATGATGAATGGATGATGACAGATGGATGATTGATGGATGGATGATGACATATGGATGATTGATGGATGGATGTATGATGAATGGATGATGGCAGATGGATGATGACATATGGATGATTGATGGATGGATGTATGATGAATGGATGATTGATGGATGGATGATGACAGATGGATGGAATGATGAATGGATGATGACAGATGGATGATTGATGGATGGATGATGACATATGGATGATTGATGGATGGATGTATGATGAATGGATGATGACATATGGATGTATGATGAATGGATGATTGATGGATGGATGGTGACAGATGGATGGAATGATGAATGGATGATGACAGATGGATGATTGATGGATGGATGATGACATATGGATGATTGATGGATGGATGTATGATGAATGGATGGTGACAGATGGATGGAATGATGAATGGATGATGACAGATGGATGATTGATGGATGGATGATGACATATGGATGATTGATGGATGGATGTATGATGAATGGATGATGACATATGGATGTATGATGAATGGATGATTGATGGATGGATGGTGACAGATGGATGGAATGATGAATGGATGATGACAGATGGATGATTGATGGATGGATGATGACATATGGATGATTGATGGATGGATGTATGATGAATGGATGATGACAGATGGATGATTGATGGATGGATGATGACAGATGGATGATTGATGGATGGATGATGACAGATGGATGACAGATGAATGGATTCACATCAGCACCGTGATTTGAAACAAGTTTAATTGTGGCAACATTTACAGCCACTAAAGAAGTTTACTCTTGAACCTTTTTCTCGGAACACGTTCTACTTTCAACACAAACTAGACCAATGAAGAACAAGAAATCCCGCCTGATTGGATGGATTCAATAGTGGGCGTGTCCAGATGAGGGGATGTAGAAAGAATCCTCAGATCAGCTGTTCAGCTTCTGACTGACTAAAGCAGCTGCATCAGATGACCTTGTCTTTACTGGCGGCGTCGCTGTGTTTTCCATCATCTCTTCTAGAAGGTAGTGCTGATGGTGGGAAGCCTCCATACTGGGAGCTGATGGCTTCCCAGGTAGGGGGGTGCTGTGACCGGAGCTCCAGCTCCTGGACCAGGAAGCGATTCCTGGCTGCCCTGCTCTTCTTACAGAGCAGGTAAATGATCTCAAGAATGTTCAGAAGCACAGAAACACCGGAAACTCCAAACATGAAAAAGATGAAGATGTTCTTCTCGGTGGCCCGCGAGTTGAAACATTCAGCACCAGCAGCAGTGGAGCAAGGATCCACCTTACAGTGAAAATTAAAATGTACGGATATGGAACCAAAGATGAAGAACTGGCCCACAGCGAAGCCGACCTCCAGCAGGATGGTGCACAGCAGCTGCATCATGTACGCACCTAGGAGGACTCCTTTGATCTTCACCTTCCCTCTGTCATCCGTGTACTTGCTTTTCTTCATCATCGCTTCGTCCTTTAGGCGCTCCATCTTTCTTTTCTCCCTGTGGATGGTGTGAACAGCGTAGCCCAGGTACACCAGGGTGGGCGTGGACACGGTGGTGATTTGGAGGACCCAGTAGTGGGCGTAGGATATCGGGAACAGCCAGTTGTAGCAGGCGTTCGTACATCCTGGTTCTTTGGTGTCGCAGTAGAACTCGGACTGCTCGTCTCCCCAGACTTTATCAGCAGCTGCCCCCAGAACAAAGATCCTGAACATGAAGAGGACACTCATCCAGATCTTCCCCACCACAGTGGAGTGGGACTGGACCTTGTCCAGCAGCGAGGACAAGTATGCCCAGTCTCCCATAGCTACACACACAGAGACATCAAAATGGAGACGTTAGCGTGTTTAGGAGTAAATCTAACTATTAGCTTAAATCTAGATGTTCGGGATCATTTATAGAGACATCTATTTAGATTTACTCTACACACACACACGCACACACACACACACACACACGCACGCACACACACACACACACACACGCACGCACGCACACACACACACACACACGCACGCACACACACACACACACACACGTACGCACGCACGCACGCGCACGCACGCACGCACACACACACACGCACACACACACACACACACACACACCTAACGAGGAGAAAAGGATGATTGGCTGGAGCAAACTGGTCAGGGGTCTCGTTTATCATCTGCCCTTCATTGGTCAATACAAGGGGGAGGAGTCCAAGTGAATTCAACACAATCAGTGACAGAAATGACATAAATACATGCAGCTGATCATAAATACATGTAGCTGATCATAAATACATGCAGCTGATCATAAATACATGCAGCTGATCATAAATACATGCAGCTGATCATAAATACATGTAGCTGATCATAAATACATGCAGCTGATCATAAATACATGCAGCTGATCATAAATACATGCAGCTGATCATAAATACAGTAACTCATCAACACATATCATTCAGAATGTGATACAGATAATATAAATGCAAATACATACAGCAGAGCTAAAAGACAGTGTTTCATAACAACAATAAAATACAACTATCCTTTATAGAAAACAAGAAAGACTCGATCCCTCATGAAGTCCATGTGGTTCTACGGTGTTTAAGGTGTGGAACAGCAGGTTAGCATGATTACGCCTCGTGGAGGAAGAGGGACAACTTCTATACCCCAAAATCTTAAAGATGCTGCTGAGACGGTTTACTGACCTATGGTAGCGCGCCACAGCGTCACCAGCCTACCAATCCTGTCCAGCGTCTCAACCCAGCTGGTTTTAGTGCAGAAACATTGTTGCTGTTTGTCTCCTTATAACGGAAAACACTTTAGCTTCCTCAGGTGCAAAAGCAACCGCACCCACACACCTGTGACCCTACCGAGGTCATCAGGATTAGAGGAAAGACCTCAGAACGCTGCTGATCATCGCTAACCTTCTGCAGGTTGTTGCTTTCCACAGAACGGAGGAGGAGGAAGTGGAGGAACGACGCCTCAGTCATGAAAAGGTTTCACGGTAGAACCAGAAACACTCACCTGTCCGTAGCGTCAGCTCATCACAGCAGCAGCGGGACTCTGGTCAGCATTATATTCAGTCCCTGCTGGGACTCGTGGTACTGGTCTGACTAACACACACACACACACACACACACACACACACACACACAATCTGCTGACTCCAGCTTCTCACATCCCTTTCCTGGGGGGGGGGGGGGGGGGGGGGGGGGGGGCATGTTTCATCAGCTCCAGCTCAAACTTGATGACTCCTAACAGTCGAGAGTGAGACGAGGATAAGTGACCACAGCCATGCTTAGGCGGGGTTTTAGGGAACTAACGAGTCATCGACTAGTTAATCACCTACTGACGAACTAGGTTGACGCTTGTCGCCTCACGTCGGACTCCTACTGATAATTTAATTATCTTTTCACGCTTTCAGGTAAAACGGCACACAACCAGTCCCATCCCAGTAAAGCTGCTGGTCCAGGAGAGCCCTCCCCCTGACTCGGCCCAGGTTGGCAGGACTACGGGGCCCAAGGTTGTCGACTGTCTGTACTTCTACTTTAAACCCATCTCAGCTGAACGCAGACCAAAGCTGCAGCTAGATTTACAACCGTCGGCCTTTGGAGAAGCTAGCAGGTATCCACTAGCATAGCAGCTAGCAGAACTGGACCTGATACTGGGCCTCTCCGTTCGTCCTCCAGGACCTGCAGACTTTCCTCTCATCTGAGCAGAGGACTTTGGACCGTGAGCAGCAGTCTGGTTCTCCTGACCCATAGATGCTCCTGATGTGTCTGGGCCAGGAGGAGACACCGGGAATGTGACCGCTGTGGCACCATCTGCCTCTAGCCTCGCTCCACCTCTGGTAAAGCAAACCAGACTAGAGCTTCTTAAACGAGAAATAACTTTTATTATTCTTCCCTTTTGGAATCAGCTGAATCAGCAGGAAGCTGGTTCCCTTCCTAATTCCACGTTTCTGCTTCTCATATGTGGCGGGAAACGGAGTGAGACCGATGCAGAGAGCAGTCAGCCTCATTCCCACTCGCCTCTCCCTGTTCCAGGAGGTTCTGACTCAGGACTGATCCACAGTGTGAAGGTTAGGGTTTCATCATCACTCATCAAACATCTGACAGTGTGAGAGACATAATCTCAGACATGAGGCCCGAGGCTCTCCAGCCATCCAACACATGAGCTACAAAACATTTTCATCACTGTTAGTTTGGAACTACTCCTTCTATTCATGCATTATTAACGTGTTTATTAGCAGCAGTTTGGTTATTTTACTCCTCTAATGTCTCTGTTGAAACTTTCATCTCCTGCTGACTGAAGTCTGGAAGATGAAAGCATGATGCTCCTAGAACTGGGACCGTTGGTTCTGAGTGGAGATGTCACCTTATTTCACTCCCCTACAAATATTATGAGTGTTTGAAGTTAGGACAGGAGTCCATCCATGTTTCTCCACTTATCCAGTCGGCTCATGAAGGCAGCAGCCAAAGCAGGGAGGCCCAGACTTCCCTCTCCCCAGACACTTGGGCCAGCTCCTCCGGGGGAATCCCAAGGCGTTCCCTGGCCAGGTGAGAGACATAGTCCCTCCACCGTGTCCTGGGTCTACCTTTAGGTCTCCTCCCGGTTGGATGTGCCCGGAAAACCTCACCAGGGAGGCGTCCTGACCAGATGCCCGAGCCACCTCAACTGGCTCCTCTCGATGTGGAGGAGCAGCGGGTCTACTCCGAGCCCCTCCCAGATGACCGAGCTTCTCACCCTATCTCTAAGGGAGAGCCCAGCCACCCTGCAGAGAAAACTCATTTCAGCCGCTTGTATCCGTGATCTCGTTCTTTCGGTCACTACCCAAAGCTCATGACCATAGGTGAGGGTAGGAACGTAGATCGACCGGTAAATCGAGAGCTTCTCCTTCTGACTCAGCTCTCTCTTCACCACGACAGACCGGTACAACGCCCGCATCACTGCAGACGCAGCACCAATCCACCTATCGATCTCACGCTCCAGTTTTCCCTCACTCGTGAACAAGACCCCGAGATACTTAAACTCCTCCACTTGGGGCAGGACCTCATCCCTGACCCGGAGAAGGCATTCTACCCTTTTCAGGATCAAGACCATGGTCTCAGATTTAGAGGAGCTGATTCTCATCCCAGCTGCTTCACACTCGGCTGCAAACCGCCCCAGCAAAAGCGGAAGATCACGTTCTAATGAAGCCAACAGGACCACATCATCTGCAAAAAGCAGAGACCTGATCCTCAGGCCACCAAAACGGATGCCCTCCACACCTTGGCTGCACCTAGAAATCCTGTCCATAAAGGTTATGAACAGAATCGGTGACAAAGGGCAGCCTTGGCCGAGTCCAGCTCTCACTGGAAACGAGCCCAAAGTTAAGGATGTTTTTTATTTGTCTGAGACTTTTATTGTGAAGGTGTTAATGAGGAGTTTAAATGAACAAAGAATATAAATGTGACTTTATTCAACAATAAACCATTTATCAATATTTTTTCATCATCAGAGAACAGAGCCAGCACATTTCTTCACCCTGCTTACTTGGTTTGCTGCACAGCCAGGTGGTCGGGGCCATGTTGAAAGATGAGGTTAAGTGACCAGCGGTGACATCACTTTTTCATGTTGTGACCACCTGAGTGAGGTCAGAACATGAAGAAGCAAAAACCTACATATGGCAGCATGTAGGTTACACCATGCTGCCTGCAGCTGCAAAACTCTCGGTTTGTACTTTAGGGTGTTTCTCTGACACCTGGCAGCCTCACATCAACCCTGAAACTCCACTTCTGGCTCGTGGATCGGGAACCTTCTGCTAGGGCGACGGAGCGCCGCGACACTTTCATCAGATCAGCACAAACCAGTTCAGTCCAGATCCTGGATCCAGTCCAGATGAATGAACTTGAGCCCATTTCCACACCCAGGAGTGACAGTGGTCATGTCGATATGTGTGTGTGTGTGTGTGTGTGTGTGTGTGTGTGTGGGGGGGGGGGGGGGGGGTCAGATGTTTCTTAGAGTCAACTCCAGATATAAGGAGGAAGTGAGAGTCTTCCTTCAGAGGCTGGCTGAACAAGGCTCGTTTTTAAGGTAGGCGACAGTTTACTGAAGAAAATGTGAACGTGGCAACAAATTTATTACAAATGAAGTTTTTAGAAAGCAGTTTGATTTAAAACGCCTTTTTATTACTGATAACATGTCTGAGAACAGGTGTGAGACGACCCAGCGTTATCTGGTGCTGGAGCCGGGTTAGGTGCCGGGTTTGACCCACTAGTGCTGCTAGAAGGCAGCAGGGAACACGTCTGCATGAATGTTGGACTCATCTGGCTGATCTTCAGGGTGACGTCAGGCCAGATCTGATCATGATGGGCTTTACCTTCTGACGGGAAGGGAACCTCAGATCTTTGGGCTGGTTCTGTGTCCACATGCGTAAACAACCCAGGCTCTGTTTCACCTGCATGTCTGAAGGTAGTAACGGGTCTAGAAGAAAGCCAAAGCCCCGTGCTCCTGGGGCATCCCAAAGCGGTTTCAGACCGGAGAGGATCTTCCGGTGAGGTTGGGTGGTGTCCCAGTGCCTCACTCCCCTCAGAGCAGGGAGACTAGGAGTAGCAGCTCCAGCTTAAGCTTGGTTTATGCTTGACGCATTCACTTTCCGCTTGGTGATGCGGCTCGCGGCTGGAACGCGCTTCGCAACTCGCAGCGTTTATGGTTCATGCGGCTCGTCTCTGCGGTGAGCCAATATTCTCCCAAACTGTAGGGGGCAGCATGGAGCTCTACGGCATGCATCCAACACTACACCATAGTAGAAGTAGAAATTACTGTTTACAACACGGCATTCCAGCATTTTTAACAGCGTCCTCGTCTTTTCCGACAGTGCGAGCTATTTCTCTCCAAGAATTATTAACAACATGGTGATCACGGTGATCTCTGAGAGCTGAATCATACAAATGTCTGTATTTACCAACCTCTGCCATACTAGCTCTTGCCGGTCCGCCATGTTTTTCCGCGTCCGACCGTCCGCGTGGTTAGAAATTTTCCGAGGTGCGCGTTGTGGAAATTCTGGGCCGTGCGGAGACGCGGTGGAGGGGCGTGGTTGTTAAAATGACGCAACTTTTCCGCGCAGAGCTGTGCGGACCTCGCGGACGCGTCAAGCATAAGCCAACCTTTAAGCTCCCACCTGATGATGGAGCTCCTGATCTCACCTCTTAAGAGCACCTCCGTGCTCTTGTGGACAGGTGGGGGGGACGGCCTCGTGTCCTGAGCTTTAACAGTGTCACACATACAGAAGGGTGGAAGCTGACTGGACCACAAATAAACTCTGATTTGAGGAAAACGGCTCATTGTAAGGCGTTTAGGTTCTGTCGAGGACACGCCTCTGATCTGTCAGGGCTCTGATGACGTTTTCTTCTTCCTGTAGGGCGTGGCCATGGCGCAGTGGTCCATCCTCTCTGATTTGCTGGACAAGGTGCAGTCCCACTCCACTGTGTTTGGAAAAGTATGGATGAGTCTTCTGTTCCTCTTCAGGATTTTTATCCTGGCTGCTGGCATCGATAAGATATGGGGAGACGAACAAACCAACATGTCCTGTAACACCTTGAGTGTCGGCTGTAGGAATCTGTGCTATAATAAAACATTCCCTCTGTCTCACACGCGCTTGTGGGTCCTCCAGATCCTCACGGTCTCCACACCGACGCTGGTTTACCTGGGACATGTCCTGCTGGTGATACGCAAAGAAAACAAGATGAGAAAGCGGCTCCAGCAGAAAAAGGACAGGGTCGGGGTGGACAAAGTCCCCAAGTACTCAGATGAAAGTGGCAAGGTCAAGCTGAAGGGAGTTTTACTGGTCAGCTACATGCTGCAGCTGGTCTTCAAGATTGTGTTTGAGGTGCTGTTCATCGTGGGTCAGTACCTCATCTACGGCTTCATCGTCATGCCTCTGGAGATCACATGTTCTGAATATCCCTGCAGAAAACAAGAAGCCTGCTTCATCAGCCGTCCCACGGAGAAGACGGTCTTCATCTGTTTTATGTTAGCCATGTCCGTCTTCTCTGTGGTTCTCCATGTCATCGAGCTGTTGTACCTGATGTTCTCAAAGGTGAAGAACAGGAAGAGGAGGAGCAGCGGCTCCGTTTCACAGAAAGTCCAACACACCCAAACCAACCCCAGCTCACGGGAGACGGTCACAGTGTGCTGAAGGACAGGTGCTGGCGAGCCTCGTGCTCCTCAGGAACACGACACTCTACAGCATCACACCTGCACCGAATACACATCTGGATTTAAAAGTTTGTTCTTTCAGTCTCACTAAAGGTTCAATACTAATGAGGTGACATGATGTGTTGTAATTGTTATGGATAACTATGCAGATCACATCCGTCACTCGTGATCAAAATACAACATCTACAGGTTTAAATGTGAATCCAATAAAAGTTCATATTTTAAATCTAATCTAAATACGCAGTTACATCTATGAGTATTGAAATATTATTACTTAAGTGTTTTAAACCAAATAGCTACCTAATAGTGAAATTCAGACGCCTGTGCAACAGAAGTAGTTCAACACCTCTTCCGTAAATTTCATTGTTTTCAACTAATGATTAAAAATGTTCTCCTTAGTGTTTTAGATGTTTGTGTTTATCGTGTTTGATTTTATCTCCACTGTTGTGAAGTGTCCTTGGGAGTCATGAAAGGTGCTTTTAAATCAAATGTATGATTATTAATAATAATAATAAAACAAGCACACTAAGGGGACTCCCTATACAACGAGATTGTGTGGTAGCTGAATAGGGAGCCTAAGAGCCGATAGAGCGCTGTGATTGGCTCACTATTGTGGACCAGTTGCAGTGCTCTAATGGTTTGAAACCCAGATAGAGCTGTGATTGGCCCACCAGAAAGCTGCTAAGGACCACAGATTCTAGTCTGTCCTTGTCAGACACGTGACCTGCATGTCAGCCACACCCCCTTAGCGCCACCTTAGGTGTGTGCCTCGTGTTGCTCGGGTGAGCCACAGCTGAAGCAGGATGGATGAAGAACAAGGCCGAACACGTCCCTTACAGGGATGGACTTCTGAAGGGGCGTGGATCGCTCTGCGGTCGACATCGTAGATCTCTACCACCTCAAAGGAAACAAACGGAGCTCAGATGTTTCATTACTGCTGAAAGTATATCACTCGGGTAAACGTAGCACTACTTCAACATATTTATAACAAGTACAAGTAAAAAGTAGCCGTCCAGAAACACGACTCCACTAACACAGGTGCCGGGCCAGGTCGTGTTTGCTGGATGGGCCTTCATTAAACAGGTTATTATCGATGTAGTGTGATGGTTTAGCTAATTTTGTTAAATGATCAATAAGACGTGATATTCCATATAAATATGAATGATCAGTCTGATTGGTCTTTGAATATTTAATTTCATATTACCTTAGGTTCTTTGGACCATTCAGGGAACACACACTTCATATTAATTCAGACAGTCAGGATAAAGTTATAAATATGATATTTGATCTTTCTGAACTAATGATTATACAGGTAAAAGCATGAATGAACTGATGATTATACAGGATGACAGACAATGAATGAAATGATGGGATGTAAGCCAGACGTTTGTAGCAAAACCTTGTTAAGTATCTGAGATCCTGTGTTGTCTGGGTTGTAAAATCAGAGTGACTGTATGGTTTAATAAGCTAGAGATTATGCATAAAACCATCCCACACCAGTGTGCAGGTCCGTTACCCGTGTTGTAGAGCCCTGCACTGAAGCCCCAGGCCCTCGGGTCGGCCCGGCCGGGCTTCGGTAATTACCTCGGACACGGGCTCAGATTTTAGGCCCGTGCAGGGCTCTACCGTGTTGGCAGCTCTGGGTGGTCCGGAGGAGAGGCAGCCCGGGCGGTGAGGTCACCGGACTTCTTTTTTTCTAATAAATTTGACGGAGACTGAGGACGGAGCTGAGGTGCAGCTATCAGTGAAACGGACGAGCAGCCCTCAAAGTATCTTCGGGTTTGCAGCGAACCTGTTTTTACCGGGTAAGAATAACGTCGTATATTTCATGAAGACAGACTGTGATGTGTTTATATTGATAATCCTAATAGATGGGTGGATATTTCACCACGGAGGACACACGGTACTGTCCACTGTAGAGAAATACTAGATTACTTTTTACAATATGATTGCTCCAATGTATGATTACATAAGAAATACATAACAAAAAAAATCAAATTTGAACGAAAAGGAGCAGAATGAAGGAAAACATCTTATAATTTCTGCCCCTTTTCCAGGAGAAATAATCTATTTATACATAATTACCATGTGTCAGACACACACACACACACACACACACACACACACACACACACACACACACACACACACACACACACACACAGAGATTCATTAAAACGTTTTCCTGTTCTAAATTCAAGAGCGATCACGATCATTGATTTAATTTACATTTTCATAATTATTTTGTACACTCAATTTGGTACATTTTTTTAATACATTAAATGAGTTTTTTTAATTTCCCTTTTAAGGATATTCCATAATTTAACACCATTTACAGATATATTACACTCCTTAACTTTAGTTCTAAATCTGGGTTTTGTAAACACATCAGTTTCTTTCTGTATGTAATTACATATGTAATTACTAGTTCTCTTCTCAAATATCCCCTGAATGTTTGTTGGCAGAGTACCTAAACTGGCTTTATACATGGTTTGTATGATTTTCCAGTCTTTTAAATCATGAAATTTCAGTAATTTATATTTAATAAACGGGTTGGATGGATCTCTACAGCCCCTATAACTGATGATTCTCAGAGCTCTTTTCTGTAAAATAAATAAGGGTTATGTAGTTTTTGTATGTTGCTCCCCAGATTTCTACACCATCTCTCTTAGAGATAGGGTGAGAAGCTTGGTCATCCGGGAGGGGCTTGGAGTAGATCCGCTGTATTGAGAGGAGCCAGTTGAGGTGGCTCGGGCATCGGGTCAGGATGCCTACTGGACGCCTCCCTGGTGAGGTTTTCCGAGCACGTCCAACCGGGAGGCCTAAAGGGAGACCCAGGACACGCTGGAGGGACTATGTCTCTCACCTGGACAGGGAACGCCTTCGGATTCCTCTAGAGGAGCTGGCCCAAGTGGCTGGGGAGAGGGAAGTCTGGGCCTCTCGACTTAAGCTACTGGCCCTGCGACCCGACTCCGGATAAGCAAATGAAAATGGATGGATATCATATAGCCAGCGGGGTGAATTTAGGCAAAGTCAGCAACTTGTTTACATCAGTGAACAGTCGCAGAGAGAACTTAAGCTAACGTTCGTAAGCTAGCTAATAACACTTAGCTTTTGTAAAAACCACTCTCTATGATCCCCACCAAGGCACACTACTTCTTCTGATACCTAAACATGGGCTTGAAATAGTGGAAGGAATGCTAAAAATAGCAAAAAACAACTTAAATATAAACAATTCCAGGCTCTACTTCTCCCTTTGTTTAGTACTCACGTCACTCACTGTTAGCATGCTTTTGCAAACCAGTATGGTAACCCACATGATAGGGTCATGTCGGTGCAAAGGGTCCATATGTTTCTTGACTGGAAAAGGGCGGTTTGTTAACTCTGGGTCAGGAAACGGGAGAACCGGTCGTTGTGAAGGAGAACAGCGAGGCAGCGTTAGTTCCATCCATCCATTATCTGAACCCGCGTGTCCAGCTGCAGGGCAACAGTGCTAACCACTGCACCACTGTGCGGCCACGCAGCAGCTTTATAAATACAGCACACTTCATACACAGAAGCAAATCAATGATAAATGAGCCGCACTTGTATAGCACCTCTCAGAGTAAGGACTCCAAAGTGCTTTACACTACAGTCTATCGTTCATCCATTCACCCACTGATGGTGATGAGCTACGATGTAGCCACAGCTGCCCTGGGGCGCACTGACAGAGGCGATGTGCTCTGGATAAAGATCAATAGAGCAAGTGACCAAGAAGAGTTTACTCCACGGATGGCCGGGCTCAGCCTTATGGGGTGGGGAGCTGGGACTTCTGAGACTCAGGTGGTTGAGGCGTTTGATCAGGACGCCTCCTGGTGCTTTCACATGTTCTGCTGGAAGGAGGCTGCCAAGTCGACCCAGGACACGCTGGAGGAACTACGTCTCTGTGCTGGCCTGGGGAGGCTTCAGGGTCCCTCTGAAGAACGGTCCTGTGATCCCCACTCCCACAAACCCAGGCTGGATGTGAACACATGAGCACACGAGCATTTTGAGAAGTTTATTGGCCACCATAATGCTGAATCAGCACCTTCACATGAAACCAGTGAACTTCTCACTTGAGCTATGAGTCATTAATCAGATGCTTTTCTCCCACGCTAAAAACGTCATCAGTTTGCAGCTTTTCTAACATAATCCTGACGAACTGTTTCCAGTTGAACAAAATAATCCCTTTTGTAATCTGTTTAGCTTCTCCAACAAAGTTCCTAACATTGGGTTTAGCTTTACTTTAGGACAACCTAAAGCAGTCTGTCAGAAGATGAAGTCGGTTTATTGTGTTCATGCTGAAAGCTGTTAGCAGAAATAACAGAGACAAGGTGGTGAAGCATTATGAGTGATAACAGATCATTATTTTACATGAGTTCACCAGTAGGTAACGTGCTAATAACTCAGCTCTCCACTAGAATAACTAACCATGAGAAACCTTAACTGAGTCATCCCATCTAATCATGACTCATCACTACTAGTCATGAGTAATCCTGACTCATCATGTTTAGTAATCCATCATAATTACGACTCATGACTAACCAGACTTTGACATAATTGTTTTTTATCATTTCACAGCACTGATTAGACCAATCAGCAGCTCAGGATTTCAGAACCTCGTGGTCCCAGTCCGTGTCGAGGACATCATTGAAGACCTCAGCAGAACCAAACAGGGACAGCTCGGAGAGAAAATGTTTGGGACCTGTTGGTGGACGCCCCAGATCAAAACACTTTCTCTTCCTGGGGTTCACAGAGCTCACTGAAGTACAGGGTTGTCCTGCTGTAGGCAGCAACAGCGCTAGCACATCCTTTTCCCTCCCAGCGGGGTCCAAAGCTTCACTCGGCTTTCCTCTGAAGGAACTTGCTGTTTCGTTAGCTACTGAACCAGTATTTTCTCTTTGAGGTGGACCTCTTTTCTCGTCCGTTTGAACTGTTGCTGTTGATTTGGTTGTGCCACTGAATGAGAATCTTGACAATTTAGCAAAAGCTGAAGCAGCTACAGCAGCTTTGATGTGGTGTGATCTGCTGCTGGGGGTCTGGGGACTTAAAGGTGAGCTGTTGGGGTTCAAAGACGAGGTGTTGGGGTTCAAAGACGAGGTGTTGGGGTTCAAGGACGAGGTGTTGGGGTTCAAAGACGAGGTGTTGGGGTTCAAGGACGAGGTGTTGGGGTTCAAAGATGAGGTGTTGGGGTTCAAGGACGAGGTGTTGGGGTTCAAGGACGAGGTGTTGGGGTTCAAAGACGAGGTGTTGGGGTTCAAGGACGAGGTGTTGGGGTTCAAGGACGGGGTGTTGGGGTTCAAGGACGAGGTGTTGGGGTTCAAGGACGAGGTTTTGGGGTTTAAGGAAGAGGTGTTGGGGTTCAAAGATGAGGTGTTGGGGTTCAAGGACGAGGTGTTGGGGTTCAAAGACGAGGTGTTGGGGTTCAAGGACGAGGTGTTGGGGTTCAAGGACGAGGTGTTGGGGTTCAAAGATGAGGTGTTGGGGTTCAAAGACGAGGTGTTGGGGTTCAAGGACGAGGTGTTGGGGTTCAAAGACGAGGTGTTGGGGTTCAAGGACGAGGTGTTGGGGTTCAAAGACGAGGTGTTGGGGTTCAAAGACGAGGTGTTGGGGTTCAAGGACGAGGTGTTGGGATTCAAGGACGAGGTTTTGGGGTTCAAGGACGAGGTGTTGGGGTTCAAGGACGAGGTTTTGGGGTACAAGGACGAGGTTTTGGGGTTTAAGGAAGAGGTTTTGGGGTTTAAGGACGAGGTGTTGGGGTTCAAAGATGAGGTGTTGGGGTTCAAAGACGAGGTGTTGGGGTTCAAAGACGAGCTGTTGGGGTTCAAGGACGAGGTGTTGGGGTTCAAAGACGAGGTGTTGGGGTTCAAAGACGAGCTGTTGGGGTTCAAGGACGAGGTGTTGGGGTTCAAAGACGAGGTGTTGGTGTTCAAAGACGAGGTGTTGGGGTTCAAGGACGAGGTGTTGGGGTTCAAGGACGAGGTTTTGGGGTTTAAGGACGAGGTTTTGGGGTTTAAGGACAAGGTTTTGGGGTTTAAGGACAAGGTTTTGGGGTTCAAGGACGAGGTGTTGGGGTTCAAGGACGAGGTGTTGGGGTTCAAAGACGAGGTGTTGGGGTTCAAGGACGAGGTGTTGGGGTTCAAGGACGAGGTTTTGGGGTTTAAGGACGAGATTTTGGGGTTTAAGGACAAGGTGTTGGGGTTCAAGGACGAGGTGTTGGGGTTCAAAGATGAGGTGTTGGGGTTCAAGGACGAGGTGTTGGGGTTCAAAGATGAGGTGTTGGGGTTCAAGGACGAGGTGTTGGGGTTCAAAGACGAGGTGTTGGGGTTCAAGGACGAGGTGTTGGGGTTCAAGGACGAGGTTTTGGGGTTTAAGGACGAGGTTTTGGGGTTTAAGGACGAGGTTTTGGGGTTTAAGGACAAGGTTTTGGGGTTTAAGGACAAGGTTTTGGGGTTCAAGGACGAGGTGTTGGGGTTCAAGGACGAGGTTTTGGGGTTTAAGGACGAGGTTTTGGGGTTTAAGGACGAGGTTTTGGGGTTCAAGGACGAGGTGTTGGGGTTCAAGGACGAGGTGTTGGGGTTCAAAGACGAGGTGTTGGGGTTCAAGGACGAGGTGTTGGGGTTCAAGGACGAGGTGTTGGGGTTCAAGGAAGAGGTTTTGGGGTTTAAGGACGAGATTTTGGGGTTTAAGGACAAGGTGTTGGGGTTCAAGGACGAGGTGTTGGGGTTCAAAGACGAGGTGTTGGGGTTCAAGGACGAGGTGTTGGGGTTCAAGGACGAGGTTTTGGGGTTTAAGGACGAGGTTTTGGGGTTTAAGGACGAGGTTTTGGGGTTTAAGGACAAGGTTTTGGGGTTCAAGGATGAGGTGTTGGGGTTCAAGGACGAGGTGTTGGGGTTCAAAGACGAGGTTTTAGGGTATAAGGACTGGCTTAGCGCACAAATATCACCTGGAATGGTGCTGGACCCTGAGTTAGTTTTTTTGTCAGTTACAGTAACTTCAGGAAGCTCTTTGTCTTTTTGACCTGAACCATCAGAGTTGGGCCTTAATGGTTGTCCTCTGCTGACTGAACTCTTTTGGTGTTTGTGTGTTTCCTGCTTGCCCCAGCTGTCCTGACTAACAGTGGTCTCTGTATTTAAGGCGGTGCTGATGGCATTGGAGGGTTTCATCCTCTTTGGTCTGAATATAAAGGCTGATAAATTGTGACGCTGGTCCACAGCAGGACCAGGATCTGCTGCTATGTTCTCCCTCTGAACATGGAGGCTTTTACCTGAGAGGGGGCCTGACGGTGTCTCTGTCCCACCTCCCTGTCCCACCTCTCCATCACACTGCTGATGACTCAGAACCAGCAGGCTCGTAGACACTTTAGGAAACACCGGATCGAAACGCTCTTCCTTTTGACGACTGGACTCTTTGGTTACAGCCGAGTTATCAGGCTTCCCGCTGACGTTGTCTTGAGTTGATGTGATTGTGGGTGAGGTCAGATGGAGGCTGGATGGGGGAGAACTCGTCCACTCGTCAATGGTTACACCCCCCTCTGATTCACAGTGGGTGGTGATGACCTGCTGCTGCTGGTTCCCAGCTGGGTCAGAGGACAAGGTCTTGGGCATGGTGCTTCTCCGCCTGGTAAACGAAAGTATTCAGATAAAAGGTGCATTATGTAGAAATGAAGTAAAAATGGCATCCTGTGGTAAAATGTGGTTACTGCTACCACTTCTCTGGAGCTTTTTACAATTGTCTGTGCTGCATTATTAGCTCACAGGAGACACGGCAACCCCCCACTCACTGAGGGTGAACAGTCGTTCCTTCCTTTTATTTTGAAAAGAGGAAAACGGAATCCCCACAGCCAGCTGGATATGAAATATGTTTCAGTAAAACCTTCCTTCTCTTTTGGGATTTTCTCACTGTAAAAATTTCTCTCTATATTTGTACATACTGCACCTTTAATGAGTGAGTTTTGTCCAATAGACAAGGCCAACTGAACCCTTTAGAGGTTTTCTCTGTGAAAAAATGTGGTTGGTTTGGTTTTATCTGACTGACGTGAGCTTTTTGATGACCATGAACAGAACGTCTATTTGGATCATTTCCACCTAAATCTGCTCATTTTATTGGTTGGTGTGTTGATGTGGACACGCGTCCAGGTGAAGAGCTGAACCAAAGATGAGCACAGGTGCTTTAGCATCTCAGCCATTCAGAACAGACCTGTCTGTCCACCATGCTGGGGAACAAGACCCAGCTCTGCTCTACTTTAGAAGCATCTTCTGCACAACCGTCACAGACTGACCAGTTGACTTGGTTGTGGTTTGGCTGATTTTATTTATTTGTTATTAAAGACAATATAATAATAATAATAATAATAATAATAATAATAATAATAATAATAATAATAATAATAATAATAATAATAATTATTATTATTATTATTATTATTATTATTATTATTATTTCTATGGGGGCTGTGGAGCAAGCCTACAGGCCTTGGACCACAGAAGAGCTTGTCATACATTTTGACTCGGCATGCACCATGGCGCTTGACATGGAAGCCCCAGTACGGGTAAAGAAACCAAAGTCTAAAAAGGAGCCATGGCTAACTGAGAGTACTCGAGTACTGAAAAGGATGTGCAGGAAGGCCGAGCGGAGGTGGAAAAAGGATGGGCTCCAGAGCTCGCTTGACCTACTAAGGGTACATTGGATTGGCTATCAGAAGGCTGTGAAAGATGCAAGGGGAAAGTACTTTGCCAACGTAATCTCCTTAAACTCTCAGAATGCTGGGATACTTTTTAAGACAGTGGACTCTATTTTAAATGTCAATGAGCCCCTTGCGATTGAGTACTCCACTGAGTCATGTAACAATCTCTTGGATTTCTTTGTGGACAAGGTAAGGGTGACAAGGGCCTCTATTCCACCACTTAGGCATGCCCCCTATGCAGATCTCTGTGTTCCAAAGGCACTGGAAGGTTTTCAATCATTAACTTTCGCAGAGCTTGAGGATCTGGTCATGAGCCTTAAGCCGACAGGGGCGGTAACTGATGTTCTCCCGGCAAGGCTACTGACAGACGTTTTTCCTGTAGTGGGTGATCATGTACTGCAAATTGTGAAAAGCAGCTTGATATCTGGGGAAGTCCCCATTTCCCTAAAACAGGCGGTGGTACGACCCCTGCTAAAGAAACCAGAATTGGACCCAACAGTCTTATCTAAGTTTAGACCTATATCTACACTCCCTTTCATTTCTAAGATCACAGAGAGGGCTGTGTTTATCCAACTGATGTCGATTCTACAGGAGTGGGAAATTGGAGAAGTGTTTCAATCTGGCTTCAAACCCTTTTATAGCACTGAATCTGCATTGCTGAAGGTCCTTGATGGCATTTTACTAGCCAATGATTCCAGTGATGCTGTGGTTCTGGTGCTCTTGGACTTGACATGACATCAGCCTTTGATGCCATTGATCATGGCATTCTAATAAACCGGCTGGAGCGGTCTGTGGGTATTACGGGACAGTGGATAAGATCCTACTTGACAGGGAGGAGTTTCTGTGTGAAGTTGGGGGACTGTTCCTCCGACATGGCTGAGCTGCCTTGGGGAGTGCCCCAGGGATCGATTTTGGCCCCACTATTTTTCTCATATCTCCTACCCCTGGGTGACCTATTTCGCAAGCATGATGTGTCATTCCATCTATATGCTGATGATTGCCAGGTTATTTTTCCAATTAGGCATGGTGGGTTATGCACCATTCAACCTTTCTTGGACTGCCTGGAGGATATTAAGCTATGGATGGCTCAGAACTACTTGTGTTTCAACCAAAATAAGACTGAAGTAATTCTGTTTACTCCACCAAAGACCCTAGGAGGTGCCCAGGGGCTTGATCTTTCCATACTGGCACCGCATCAGAAGGCGGTGGCCACTAACCTAGGGGTAAAGTTGGACGCAGAGCTCAGATTTGATTTTCAAGTAAACGGAATCGTGAGATACTGCTATTTTCGTCTCCGGCGGATAGTGAAGATTAAGCCATTTCTGTCACGTAGTCATTTGGAAACTGTGATCCATGCCTTTGTTACCTGCTGGCTGGATTATTGCAACTCGCTATATGCGGGGCTTAGGCAAGCTCCAATAGCACACCTCCAGGCAGTTCAGAACTCTGCAGCTCAGTTGTTAACATGTACCAGGAGGTCTGAACATATTACACCAGTCCTATGTGCCTTGCATTGGCTCCCTGTCTCCTATCACATCAGGTTTAAGGTTAGCCTGTGTGTATTCAAGGCATTAAACTGGGGGGCACCTAAATGTCAGACATCATCCACCAGCATGTCCCAGTGCATTCCCTTAGGTCAGCTGACCAGAGACTATTACCTGTGCCCAGGTACAGCTTGAAGTCTCGTGGGAGCCGTGCCTTCTCAGTGCTGGGACTAAGGCTCTGGAATGATCCCGGCCGATGTGAAGCAGGCCCAATCACTTGAGAGCTTGAAAAGCCGACTAAAAACCCATCTGTTCTCGTTGGCGTTTGGACATTGAAGTTGGGATTGGGTGGGCAGCATCACTTTGAATGTTTCTGGATCTGATTCTGGAAACAGGACTGATCTGGATTGCTAAACTGTACTTGGGAGTTCTTATTGTATTTTAATGGTTATATACAGTATGTTTGTTTTATTGCTGTAATTTTTTTATTGATGTACACGCTTCGTTTGTCCGCTTTGGGCATGTGAAAGCGCTTTATGAATAAAGTAGATTCGATTTGATTTGAAAGACAAGTTACAGTCATTTCATCACATAATTACAACAAGATGGGCCGAGTTAAAAAGACAGGAAGTCAGCGTGGTGGAGCTTCTGTTTACATATAAAATCAGACCTGCCAACCTCGTCAAGTCTGTGAGAACCACTTGTGCTGCGTTTTTTTTTTTTTTTTTGCAGACTTTTGCAACTCCATTGCTTTTCATGCTGTAATTTCCCCATTCACTGGACAGAAAAGTTCACACACACACACACACGCACGCACACACACACACACACACACACGCACACACACACACGCACGCACGCACACACACACAGACACACACGCACGCACACACACACACACACACACACACACACACAAACACACACTCACGCACACACACACAGACACACACGCACGCACACACACACACACACACACACACACACACACACACACACACACACGCACGCACACACACACAGACACACACGCACGCACACACACACACACACACACACACAAACACACACACACACACGCACGCACACACACACGCACACACACGCACACACACACGCACACACACACACACACACACACACACACACACACACACACACACACACTGTGGTATGACACCTGGTGAGTGAGTTTAGTGATTGTTCAGGAATGAACTTACCTGGAGAGTCGGTCCATCTCCGTCTGAAGAAGCAGAGGCAGGTTGAGTCCTTCCAGCAGAATCTGGCACTGGGTTTGGTACTGCTGAACCGGGTCATCAGGAAACGAGGTGAGCAAAGCGTTCACATTTCCCAGCAGAGCTCCACCCTGAAAGAGACGCACCTGATGGTTACAGACCCTCAGAGTTACGGCGAGAAAACAACCAGAAGAATGTGTCCTCGTGGACGAAGATGGAAGCCAGAACTGTTCTAAGCTGTTCTCCAGAGGTTCCCGGTTATTTCCTGGGCAGATCTCTGGTTGAAAGCTTCTCTCACCAGCAGTAAAGTTTTTTAGCGATGTTGCTAATAAATGACTGAGCGCTGAGGAACATTAAAACGTTTCCAGTTCTACCTGTATTTGTACACCCAGCTTTAAGAGACCGGTGTTGTGTCAGAAAGCGTTGCTCCTCCTGTCTAGCTCTCTCTCTCCTGGCGAATCAAGTCAGATCAAAGCACCGAGCCACATACTCGTCTGTCCCAGATTACAGCAGCGTTTCCTCTGGACATTTATCAATAACAGATTATAATCCCGTACAAACGCCACCAGCTTCGACTACATTTGGAACCAAAATAGAACTTAACTGGACTGAAAATGTAAAACATGAAACTAAGTGAAAACACGTGATCGAGGCTCCATCTTCGAGACTAAAGTGAGTTTCTGGTTCAAAACATCCCTGGTGTTGTTTCAGTCTGCTATTTTTATGCTCGTTCATATCTTAATATTGTTTAAGTCAGAGGTTGGACTCTTTGTTATGTCTGAATAAGGGCGTTAGTACACATAGCTGAGAATACCAACAGTTCTGTAGGACAATAGTTACTTTACCAGTTAACATGCTAATAAGAGTAGAACATACATGTTCCTGTCAAATATTAGAATCTGTCTTTTATCAGACAGAACTAGGGATGTACACACTTAACCGGTTACTCCATTAATGTTCCAACCGGGTAAAATAGTGTTAACTGCTTCAGGTCCTTATGCTGCGCTGGGGGATAATATATTTTGTGCCACTAGAGTGCGCAAAAACGCTGCTAACAAAATACGTTTAATGGTCAACCTCAGAAGAAGAAATTAGCTTGTCACATGACCAAAAATGTGCAGAAACATAAATCAGTAAGCAAAGAGCTTTTATTTCTTAGTTATTTCATTCATGAACGCAATAAGCCTCACATGAAAGGTTTCCAGTTAATCAGCTATTAACCGTAAACGGGCGTCAACACCCGGCTAAAGAACACGCGGAAATCCTGCTTCCCTAGATGGACCCTAAACTCCACCACAGGCACACCGGTGACTCGGCACACAGAAAACTCCTCTGATCTGTACTGTGGCTGGGCTTCATACTCCGACTGACTCATGGTGAGAAGGTTTGGTCTCTTACCTGCATGGAGCACTCCATGACAGAGACAGCAGTGACCGCGTCCTCTATGGTGACCATCTCTCTGAACATCAGCCTAGCATGAGCTGTAGGGTCAGTAGAGGTCAGTATCATGTATGTTCTACAGGACAGCAGATACTTCCACATGTATCATATATGTTCTATAGTACAGCAGATACTTCCAAATGCATCATGTATGTTCTATAGTACAGCTGTTACTTCCACATGTATCATGTATGTTCTATAGTACAGCAGATACTTCCAAATGCATCATGTATGTTCTATAGTACAGCTGTTACTTCCACATGTATCATGTATGTTCTATAGTACAGCTGTTACTTCCACATGTATCATGTATGTTCTATAGTACAGCTGATGCTTTATGTGTATCATGTATGTTCTATAGTACAGCTGTTACTTCCACATGTATCATGTATGTTCTATAGTACAGCTGATGCTTTATGTGTATCATGTATGTTCTATAGTACAGCTGTTACTTCCACATGTATCATGTATGTTCTATAGTACAGCTGATACTTCCACATGTATCATGTATGTTCTATAGTACAGCTGATACTTCCACATGTATCATGTATGTTCTATAGTACAGCTGATACTTCCACATGTATCATGTATGTTCTATAGTACAGCTGATACTTCCACATGTATTATGTATGTTCTATAGTACAGCTGATGCTTTATGTGTATCATGTATGTTGTGAGCAGCAGTAAACAGCTGTTACTGGTGTTTAAACAACATGGTAGCAGGACGCCCACCCTCACCTTCTGCCAGTCTGCTGAGACTCTCCAGCATGCGGATGGTTGTGCGAGCAGCGTTGCGTCCATCGCTCTGGCGCTGCAGCTGATAGTAGCGGGTCAGGATGCATTTAGCCTCCTCAGACACTTGTGGCTGCAGTTGCTTGATTATGCTGAAATAAGCTTTCATTTTCTCCATGGACCACAGAGAAGACGACTCCACAGGTGGTCCTAAAGGAGGTCAGAACCAGTTTTCATCCTGGAACTAAACACCTGTAAGACTTAAACCATGGGGTGGCAGGGTGAGAAACTCCTGCTGTTGTAAAAATCAGAGCAAGACGGCAGAATGAGGATAAACCATGAGCAGACAATTTTCCAGCTGTAGTGAAAGATGGAGTCTGGCGACGGCACAAAGACGTTTCTTTAGAAGAAAAGCTTCGTTTCTGTTGTGGTTTTAAAGATTCGTTCAAGTCATTTAGAACAGAGGAAAGCGCCGCAGCAAACTCGGCTTCAGACTCCGTCTACATTGTTTACGAGAAACTGAGGGTTGCAGTCTTTGACGTACGCTGCTCTGCGCTGATTGGCTTGTTAGAATTCTCAGGGGTGGGGTTATTTGAATGGAACCATTACCAAGGCCCTTGCTTCCCATTAGGAAGGTTTGGCATGGCTGACAAGGCTATAGAAAATATACCTTTGTCATTTTCTCAACCCTACTCCCAACATACTCACGGTTTCCTCCATGTTGCCAAACATTATGTCTACAGATAACGCTCATTTATATGCCCTTTGACCTCCTGTCAGCCGTCCAGGCTCCTGTAGCAGCTCTTCTCTGTTTATGTCCCGCACTTGACGGATCAGTCATCAGGCTTCATTAGCTGGTCTCAACAGTCTGAATGCAGATTAATGTAATTTATAGTAGTCTAGACTAACTGTAAGAGAATAAAGGTTTAATTTACTCTCTTTTAAGTTTTAATCACCATCAGAAAGCTAAACTCTGCCACCTGCTGGTCAAAACATGCAACTACCCTCCTTAAAATGTGAACTTTTGTTTTATAGACTAAACCTGCTGACAATCAAACTTTACATTTCTAAAGTAAATCATTTAAAATATGAAATTATATGAAGATTAAAACTGGTAAGTGAACACGGACGATATTCTAAAGCCCTGCAGAGAAAACCTTTCTGGGTTCAGAGACAACTGGAATGTTTTAGACTCGAGGAGAAATAAAAGCAGCGTGTTCCTCAATTCAATAAGAAATCATCATAAAGGGATAATCCACCCAAAAGTTCATCTTTGCCTGTTCACAAACATCCCAGACCCGGCTATCTTCCTTTAGCTTTAGCTTAGCATAAAACACAGTAAGTGAATGGATCCAAGTAGCATTGTGAGTAACAATGTCCTTAAATAAATAAATAAATAAATAAATAAAATACTACATCCCTGTCAGCTTAAAAAACTTTCATGCAACACAAACACACAAGGTTTAATCTCTCCTGCACAAAAGTGATGTGCTTATTTTTTCTCTTGTTGCCATTGTGTGTGTGTGTGTGTGCGTGTGCGTGTGTGTGTGTGTGTGTGTGTGTGCGTGTGCGTGTGTGTGTGTGTGTGCGTGCGTGTGTGTGTGTGTGTGTGTGTGTGTGTGTGTGTGCGTGTGTGTGTGTGTGTGTGTGTGTGTGTGTGTGTGTGTGTGTGTGTGCGTGTGTGTGTGTGTGTGTGCGTGTGTGTGTGTGTGTGTGTGTGTGTGTGTGTGTGTGTGTGTTGCCTGAAAGTTGTTTAAGCTGACGGAGGTGTGGTATTTAATCGCTGCACCAAACTCAATCCGTACAGCCTTCTGCAGGAACGGAGACCTGACTGACTGATAACAACAAAGCTTTACCAAATGCCTGAACCTGCTCCTCCTCTGGTAATCTAAAATAAATCGCTTTAATGACCCCCCCCCCCCCCTTCCCCTTGCAGCCGTGAGACATGGAGATTGTTCCATGTGCAGCACACGGAAGCTTATTAAATGTCTTCAGAGGTTGGGAAACTCTTCAAACAGCTCTGCAGAGAGCCTACAATGTTACTCCTGCAATATTAAGATGCCAGGAAAGCAGATCCAGGAGCAGCGGCACATTCATCAGAAATCTTCAAAGAAAAGGGAAAACTTGGAGCTGCATCACATCGTCGGTTCACTAACAATGTGTGCATCTGTTTAAGCGGGCGTCTTTAGGGCTGCTCTGCACGTTTTAGTGTTTGCTTACAGCTGTGCTCTGTCATAAAGTAGTCCCAAGTCTAAAATGGCTCCAGTGATTCCTTTATGTTAATATTTATTGTCACTTGCAGTCAGTCGGATTATTTAGGTCACCTAATGGCCTGTGTCTGCATAGTGCCTTCTTAGGGTTCTACACCTCACACCACACCCATTCACACCCTGGTGACGAGGAGCCACAGCTGCCTTGGGGTTAGGGTTACACACTGACCGAGGCCATACAATGACCACCACCAGGCAAGGTGGGTTAAGTGTCTTGCCCAAGGACACAACAGCAGCATTCTCTGGTGGGACCCAGGATCGAACCTGCAACTGGACTACCCGCTCTACCTCCTGAGCTACTGCTGTCCTCCAAACAGAGCTGGGATCACTACTGAGTAGTTTTAAGGTTTTTTTACTCACAGTGCTACCTGGACACACATACATATGTAATTCAATTGCGATGTGACAAAAGGAGATTTTCTAATCGCAAAGGCTGCGATTTGACTGGCAGCGAGTGGTTAGCGTAATGCTAATATACATGGAAAAACCCATAGGGATGCTAATGCTAATATCACCAATTACATTCTTACAAATAACGAATTAGGAACGAGCCAAATGATTTCATTTGGAGTCTAATAAAAAGTAAAAACTGCCATTAATCAAATAATTACAGATATTTTAGTAAAGCTAGAAACCCGTAAGAGCCTTTAACTCCACTGAGTTTTGGCTAGCAGGTTTGGCTTCGATTAGTTTAAAATATAAGAAAATAATCTTGAATTAAATCGCAATTAGATTCCTTTCCAGAATCGTTCAGCCCCAGTCCAATCCATCCTCGTGTTTCTCAAAGAAGACCTCCACCTCGTGAATCTACAAGCTCCAGTTCTGTCTCCGGGGCTGCTCTCACTACTGTCTCCTACAGCGGAAACCCTTTTATCACACATCACGCCTGACGCTTTTCTCCACCCATTCTCCATAGCTTTCTTGGCTTATGCTTCCTGTCAGATGTCCTTCCTGACACAACCCTCTACATTTATCCAGACTTGGGATTGGTACACGGAGTCACTGGCCTGTCATCTCTATGATTGAATAGAATCGATCAGAATTGTATTTCCAAACAGAAAGGTGTTACCTCTGTCCTCCAGAATAAAAGATGAAATTATTCGGTCCCACTCTGGGTTCCTGGTGTCCCTCAGAACCAGAACCAGGTCAAAACGACTCAGTAGAGGGCTGGCCAGAGCCACGTTCACAGAGAGAGGTTCGCTGGAGTCGTACTGGCCCTTAGGGTTTGTCGCTGCTAAGATGGAGGTTCGAGTGTTCAGCTTACAGACCATCCTGTAAAAGAGCGAGAGACCAGGACGGGTTACCACTGGTGGTGAGAGAGAGGAGCAACACATACTGATACCTAGCCCCACGTTAGCTCATCTGCTTTTCTGTCTAACGTGTAAAGCTACAGTAAACTAGCCTCTTTTAGCGACAGAAGAGTGTAGGTCTTATAAACACCATTTAAACGTACTCAGAAACAGTCAAAGCCCCTGACTGCTTTCACATAATCATTCTTTTTTATATGACGTTTACACATGTAGCTGTTAACGACATCATCTCTGCGCAGCTGAACAGAAGCAGGCTGCGACTAGTCAGTGCCGCTGGCTGAATTTCCTCTGAAATTACAATCATCCACAAACATTAAAGACCAAGTTCTCTTGCTATTTCGACACATGCATGATCTCCACTATAAAGCCAGTTTTCTAAGTGTGTGTGTGTGTGTGTGTGTGTGTGTGTGTGTGTGTGTGTGTGTGTGTGCGTGAGTGTGTGTGTGTGCGTGTGTGCGCGTCATACCCAGCCTTGGCCACGCTGATGGACTGTTGCTCCATAGCCTCATGAATACTGATCCGATCATGTTCCTTGATGCTGTTGAACTCATCGATGCAACACAAACCACCGTCTGACAGAACCAGAGCTCCCGCCTCCAGGTGCCACTCGCCTCCATCTTTTACCGCTGCCACGGTCAGTCCTTCACAAAGAATGTGCAGAGTCAGTGTGCAAGCACAGGCAGCTATTGGGAAGGTTCTTCAGCTTAAGAAGCTAACGAAAACATGACCCACCGGCACTCGTTGATCCGATTCCAGCTGTGAGAACAGAGCGGGAAATGATCTTGGCTGCATATTTCAGGAACTGAGACTTCCCGGTGCCGGGGTCACCAACCAGCAGCATGTGGCACTCTCCTGCAAGTGAGTGACACAGATCAGCAACAAACCCAACAGTGAGTCAGCAGTCTGCTGCACACAACATATTTAGATAAAAGAGACGAGTCATAAGACATGTGGGAATATAAAACAACAATAAAGTGATTAGCATGTAGTATATTCATTGTTTCTGGTAAGTAGGCATAATCTGGTGTGGATTCAAACCGAGGACCTCCATGCTGTGAAGCAATCTGGCTGAAGCCTACTTCACACTGGAAGCGTCAGCGGCGCGGAACGGCACAGCTTCAAATAGAATGGATTATAGTCTATGGGGGTGGTTCAAACCAGTCGTGATGCAGCCATGTTCAGACGTGTCCCTGAAGCGGCACGCCGCGCCGCGATGCTTAAGATAGGATCGGGTTCTATTTTATCCAAGAGCTGCTTCTGGGACGCGTCAATTTACGCCTAGACTAGGCAGGAAATCAGTGTAAAATCCCCAGTAATTAAAAAAAACAAAAATATTGCAGCGATGCTACTTCATGTAGATGTAGCTTACATGTGACCTAACGGATATTTACTCCGACTGTCAGTCTAAAAGCGCAGCGGTGTGTTTTCCATGGCTTTAATCCTGGCAGTGGAGAGGAACAACATCCTATATGACATCAAACAGTGATTTCAAACGGCAAATGGCGGATTGCATAAACAAACCTTTGAAGTTTTGAGAGATTTTTTGATGTCGCGAGTGGAGTGAGGAGCATGGTAAAGAAGCCGCCTCACGGCTCAGACTCTCCCGGTGTGCGCTGGAGGGCAGTGGTTGTCGTGGGAACGCAGTAGAGTGTAACCGTCGTCACCTCCAGCTGCTGCTGAATCAGCTGAGTCAATCATAAAGCTAGTTTTTAAATGATGATGTCATTTATAGTCAGACACATCAGAGGGTTTTCCACAGTTTAAGGTCAAAGGTCAGACATTCTCCTTCAGGATGTTCTGCTAGAGAGCAGGATTCATGGTTTCATCAGTTCCAGCAGGTGGTCCTGCAGCAGCAGAGCCCCACAGACCATCACACTACCACCGCCATGCCTGACTGTTTTAGATGCAGTTGGCCAGTCTTCATATATCCTTCTAGACACCCTGAGGTGTTTTACACCACAGCAGTCATTCACTCACTCACACACAGGCAGTGATGAGCCACTATGTACCCACAGCAGTGGGGGAGGGGTAACTCAACTCCTTTTATGGTCACATGAACCCCAGGCAGAAAAATGAGATAAACACACCTCTGATCTTGGTTCCGGACGAATCTACTCTCTGCACTCCTCCGGCCAGAACCATGGCCACAGCCAGCTTAACCACATACATGCCAAACACCTTAGGACACAGGCTCATCAGGATCTGGTTTCGACCTGTGGAAAGAAGAAAAGGATGTATGAAAAGTAAGTCACGACGCAGCAGGCTGTGTCAGCAACACGCACCGGCTAAAGGATCATGTCTGTAGTCCTCCCAGAACTCATCAAAGTCTCTCTGAACGTCTTTGGCCAACAGCGACGCAGCAGCCTGCTGGTTGTTGACTTCTACGTTGTTGGCTTTGAGGACCAGCTCCACCTCACAGCCAAGGCCTTCATGGAAAGGCTTCCAGCGTAGACTCATCACCCCGTACACGGTTACATCGTCTCCTGCCAGTAATCACAGTAAGTAAAGCAGACGGCTGCAGGGTTAAAGCCTTTCTTATGCTTGGCTTTTAACACGTTTATCTTAGTTTTTACGTCTTTTATGTCGTTCGTTGTGTGTTCTGTTTTTTAATCCAGTGTCCATTCTGTGAAGCACTTTGGTCAGTATTATACTGTTACAAATGAAGTTGGCTTGTCTGGCTCACAATCGCATCAACGCATTGATGAGTTAGTGCCGACTCAGTAAGGCTGGTCCGGATAGCTTATTTGGTTTCACATCTGGGTCATATGTGCTTTTTCCGTTCTGATGTGACAGTTTTTTCAGACCTCTTCCTCTACGGTCCGTCCGACTGGGACCGGAGTGACAGTATGGACTGACTGCCTGCCTGAAATTCATGCCAGCATTAGAGCATTAGGTCGGCCTCTTCACTGTCTGGTTTTAAGAGCTTCGGTCGGTAACAAGATGGCGCCTGTGCTTGGCTTAGCCGCAGTCAGCGGCCACATTTTCAAACTTTTCTCCACTAACCTCCTCTTTTCCACCTCGCTCCTGTCTGTGATCCTCTTCAGTAGTGTCCCTGCTACCATCTCCTATGATCGCCAGACTCTTCTGTCCTTCCGTTCTTTCACGATCGCCCAAGATGCACCGAGGACGTACCTCCCTGTTTGTTTACCTGAGTGGCGCGCTGGCCCGGAGCCAAATGACGATTCCAACCAGGGCGCCTCCAGCGATGTTTGTCCGGTCCCGGGAAAACGTCGGAGGAAACGAGGTAAACGAGCAGGAATCCAGGTGAGAATAAGACTTCTCTTAAAGCGTGGTTTATCTAGTAAACATCGGCGTGATCTTCTAGCTTCTTGTCCTTTGTTTGGTGACCTGAGCGCCACTTCCACATTCCCGCCAGGCCGTGTTGCAGCGCGGTTCATCCGTCCAAATTTTTTAAGGTTGGTTTATCCTCATTCCTCAGTGGTTTCTCCTCCTGTTCCCTCCATAAGTGGTTTTTATAAACACCGTGGATCTAACCCTGCTAATTTACGTCCACTAACTCCAGCTGTTTGTGTAGTTTCTGGTTCCTCCACCTCACTCAGCATGGCCCTATTAAATACCCGCTCTGTTAACAATAAGTCCTTCCTGCTCAATGATCTAATTCTCTCTAAAAACCTGGATTTTCTGTTTCTGACTGAAGTTTGGCAGCAAACATCTGATTATTCTGCTCTGATTGAACTCTGCCCGAGTGGTTATTCTTTTCTTAGCCAGCCCCGGGGTTCTGGTCGTGGTGGAGGCCTAGCTGTTGTTTTCAGAGACCATCTTCCATGTAGCTCTACAACCTCTGGTCACTTTGCTTCCTGGCACTCGCAGAGAACAGGCGCTTCTCTTTTTGCTCCCTTATCTTTTTTTCCCAAGGCTCTTTGTCCTGTCTGCCCACAGAGCGCTTCTCTGCATTTCTTCTGAAAAACTCTATTTTTAACCACGTATTTGATAAACTGGTCATTCAATGCGATCGATAAGATTTTTTCAACAATGAGAACGGAGCAGGGGGCTCCCACATGTCTACAGGGGACACACCCGGTGGGATACATGCTGGATTCCTGGAAGGAGTGGAAGATCATATGCGTCTCCCAGCTGTCCTTGAAGATATCGAAGGCGTGTGGATATTCGGTCTGATGATCACTGGATTTCTCCTTATTGGAGTGGGAGGATATCTGGTTTTCTGGAAATTTGGGAAGACGGGAGCGATTGGAGGGCGACCCGCACCCACGGAAAGCACAGCTGGTGTGGAGACTTCTCAGACTGGGACGTTACTCGAGGTGAATTGTAAGCTGGACAATATTCTAGCTGCGATACCGGTATTAGTGCGTAAAATGGATGTCATCTCAGAGAGAGTCACCGGACGGTATGGACAGGTTTAAAAACCCAAAATTGGCTTCACTGAAGGACTGGAATGATCAGTTTAAAGACTGAAGGCAGAGAGGAAAATTATCTCAGCCTGACCCAAACCAATTCTTGCTATCTGAATGTGACGCTCTGGTAGCCTTGAGCTGCTAGCAACAAACCCCCACGAAGGAATGCAGACAGATGCTGTGAAAACCCGACCCCCCCCCCGCCTTTGGTGGACTTCAGCCTGGCGAGGTCATCAACCTGTAGGAGTCAATGTGCTCTGCGCTTCTCCCAAGACACACCTGCTTAGACTCTATCAACACCTGGATGGTGGGAGCTTTCTTCAGCTGAATGAAGATAAGACTGAGATCCTCATCTGTGCCCCAGACAAGCTGGTTCCCAAAGTCAGAGACTCTCTTGGTCAGCTTGCTTCCCACACCAAACCTTCTGTCAGGAATCTTGGCGTGACCTTTGACCCAGCTCTCACCCTGGATTCTCATGTCAGTTCTCTTGTTGGCTCTTCCTTCTCCCATCTCAGGAACGTTGCTAAGCTGAGTCCCATTCTGTCCCGCTCTGAACTTGAGACAGTTCTCCACACCTTCATCTCCTCACGCTTAGACTACTGTAACTCTCTTTTCACGTGTCTGAGCAGAACCTCCCTGAACCGTCTACAGGTGGTTCAGAACGCCTGTGCTCGGCTTCTGACCAAGTCCTCCAAACACACCCACATCACCCCGCTTCTCCTCCAGCTTCACTGGCTGCCAGTCAACTTCAGGGTTCATTTCAAGATCCTGGTTCTGGTCTATAGGGCCTTACATGGACAAGCACCATCTTACATTGGTGATCTTCTTAGTCCCTACACCCCCAGCAGGTCCCTGAGGTCCAGTGATCAAAGCCTACTGGTTGTGCAGCACCAGGCTAAAGGTCAAAGGTGACAGATCATCTGCTGCTGTGGCCCCCAGACTCTGGACCTCTCTCCCCCTGAGCCTGAGATCAGTGGACTCAGTGGTCTCCTTTAAAAAGCAGCTGAAGACTCACTTGTTCAAGCTGGCTTTTGTATGACCTTCTTCACCTCTCTCTCTTTATTCTGCTCTCCCCACCTATTCCCTATTGCCCCCGTGTACTTATCTGGCCTTCTTTCAATTTATACTCCTGGTCGCACACTCAGGTCCTCCAGCCTGTTGCTCCTCGAGGTCCCGAAAGCGTGTTACAAATCATGCGGACAAAGAGCTTTCTCTGTCGCGGGTCCTAAACCGTGGAACGAACTTCCAGTCACAGTTCGACTGGCATCCACCTTGGCAGATTTTAAGTCTAGACTAAAGACACACTGTTAGTTTGGTTTTTACTACTCTTATTTTATCATCCATTGTAAGGTTTTATTGGGACTTTTTTATCGGCTTGTCTTTTTTTATTGTTGGCTGTATTTGATAGTACTGTTTTATGTTTTTATCTCTATTATTGTGTAACTGTTCAGCACTTTGGTCAGCCGTATGGCTGTGTGTTTAAAGTGCTATATAGATAAAGGTGGTATGGTGTTCCGCCTTCCTCGGGATCCACTGATTTCCCTCTTATCTGTTCACTCTCTCTCTTTCTTAACATATTTTTTTAAATCACATTTGTCTATTTTTGCTCATTTTAAATATATTTTTAACCATTTTCTAAATTCGTTTTTATATTTTTACGTTTTGTTTTTGTGAAGCGCCTCGTGATTTTTATCTTGAGAGGCGCTATAGAAACGATATTTTCTTCTTCTTCTTAAATCTTTTTTGAAAACCTATTTTTATGATTTGGCTTTTAACTCAGCAGCATGATTTGTCCAGCTTTACTGTGTTTTTATTTACTTACTAAAGTCTGTTGGAAGTTAAAAACTACAGAGGGATGTTACAATAACACCCACGGACATACAGGAAGTGGGTTTGTCTGCACACCAGAAACATGAAGAATCACGTTACGGTACATGAATGACCTGTAATTATTTGTGACTAAGCACAATAACGTGTGATTTGACCGACAGCTCACTCTGTTTCAGTGTTCCTGTTGCAACAGTGACCTGTAGGGTTAGGATTAGGGTTAATCTCACCAGATTTACACAAGTCAACCAGGTCGTCCTCCAGGACCACCACCAGAGAACGAGGGATACTTCCCACCGACAGCCTCTGCACCTGGGGCCAAATGCGACAGTTCCTGTGTTTAACGGGACTACATAACAGCACCGAACAACAATGAAAGACGGGTTCTGGCGTACTTGCTCTTGGATCTTGATCTCCTGGTAGTCCCGGCAGGCAGCCGGCTCCGTTTCTCCAGAGAGACAGGTGAATTTGAAAGAGTTACACTCAGCTGAGTTAGGACAGCCCGCCGGAGGGACAGACGTGTAGAACTGGTCAAAATCAGCCTGTACCTTAAACACGTGTTTACACTTTGTGCACATGTAGTCCCGCTCATACTCCAGAACCTGGGAATAAAGAAAAACTGAAAAGAAGACAAAAAGACACATTCTGTCTCTACAACAGAGGAGGTGGAGACACCTGGACTGAACCTTCTGACTAGGGTTGGACATCGAGCATCGACTGGAACCGGGACCAACTGTTTGTTTTTCCCAGGATCGTTTCAAAAAATTTTTTTCGATTCCTAGTTTCGATTCCTAGAATGCCGACCGCAAGAGGAATCCGCGGCCGATCTCCGTGAAAAATAAACGTGATCTGCAAATAGTGATCAATGCTTTTCAGAGCGGATCACAGCAGCTGTCTGTGTGCAGCACCAGGACTTTATATTAGGAAAATGTAGCATCCTGCTCTACTCCCGTCTTGATTTTATTACTAATTTTATCAGACGGGCCCATTGGATCCCAGTCCCAAAGCAGGGCTCTCACAGATGTGACTAGCAGACCAGCTTTATGTTTAAAGTAACACTAGATAGGTTTTAAACTTTAAGCTAGAGCTTCGTCATTGATCTCAGTGACTGTTGAGTTAGAAACTTGATCAGTTTCATATTTGACACCACGCTGCAGTCCTCTGCTGACCAAAACCACACTAGATAGTTTTGTGGAGCGGGTAGGTGCCCTATGATTGCTCTTTACCTATTTTCCTGCTGTTAGCTGTGAAACTAGCAGTTAACATTTTCAGTTCACCGATATTCATTAAGAAGCAGAAGAAGAAAAAAAAGTTAGCCTTTTCTGTTGGCATCATGCCGGAGCCTAGAAGTAAAAGTAAGAGGAATGTCTTTGGATGTGAACAAACAGCTAAAACCAGACTGAATGTTGGAGCGGCCTATGCTAGTTTGAGGGAGCTAAAGGGGGCTACGAAAATCAAAAACTAATGGTGACCTAGCTTTGTTGCCACTGGACTTGTAAGTAATAATATTTTTTGTCCAACGGTGTGGATCTATTGGTTTATTTTAGTATTACAGGGTTTCCCCCAGCGCTTTATAAGCCTGGCGGCCTACCAGGCTTTGCTTGGCCACCCGCCAGGCTAAGCGTCATGTCCCGCACCACTCCCCGACTCTACCGTGTCTGCTGACACACACAGCGCAATGAAACTAGAGCCCTCCATCAGCGGATACTGGTGAGAAACAGCAGTGGAACATGTGCAACCCCCCCACCCCCACCCCTGCTCTCACGGAGGAGCGCTGCGGGACGGAGCGCGCGACCCCCCCCCCCCTACACACACACACACACACACACACCCCACCCGACGGCCGAATCCGCCAGGCTTAACTCATTTTCTGGGGCAAACCTTGCATTAGTTTACTCGTCTTAGGGCTAGGCGATATGGCCTACAATCAATTTCATGGTATATTGAAGATTTCACCCCAATAACGATAAATGGACGATAACCACATGCATGTGTAGAAAAATAAGTTGTCCTCTATATGGGGCTGTCACATGTACTACATGGAGTCACCTTGTCATGTGACCTGTCATGTGTCCCGAGATGCGTGTGTCTCCACCTGACCGGGCCATCCGAACGGTCGTTTTTTGGGCTGTTTTCAGGAACCTCCTGAGCATCTGCTCTGGAGTAGGTACTCCGAACGGCCTAATGGAACAGCTGAGCGGAAACCTCCGGTTAACTCACGCTAATGGGTTGTAGCTCAGTAGGAAATTACATCAGCAGACGTCCAAAACAACCAGCAGCAGTATAATTAGAAGAGTAGCTGGTGAAGCAGAAAGGAAGCAAAAAAAAAAAAAAGAAGAAGCACCTATCGCATTTAAAATCTAACTCCTGACACCATAAAACTTGGTGGAATTCCCCCACAGCTGTTGGAAAATAAATGGGGACATTCCCCTTCAGACTAAAGTAACGGGGCTTGTCTCACAAAACTCAGAGCTGCTCTTGTCCTCTGAATGGATTAAATTATAATTTACTTCTATAAAATAAATGCTTTTAATATTATTAATGTTACTTTGGGCGCTTTTGGAGGCTGATCAGTGACATCACTCACTGCCAAAGCAGCCATGATACGCCGATGTCTGTGCACGTTCTAAAAGGGCCGAATTTGAATGGAGACACAACAGCTGAGAGGACTGGGACATCCTATCTCATGGTCAAGTTCCCTGTCCCAGGAACTACCCTGGAGTTCTGGTAATGGAAACATGCCTACTGAGTCAGAGTGGGCCATGTTCCGTGCTTCTATTGTTGAGGCGGCTGACCGGAGCTGCGGCCACAGGGTTGTTGGTGCCTGTCGTGGTGGCAACCCCCAAACTCGCTGGTGGACACCGGCGTTTAGGGATGTTGTCAAGCTGAAGAAAGAGTCCTATCTTGGTCTTTTTGGCTTGTGAGACTCCAGAGGCAGCTGACGGATACCAACAGTCCAAGCAGAATGCGGCATGGTTGGTTGCAGTGGCAAAAACCCGGGCATGAGAGGAGTTTGGTGAGACCATGGAGCAAGACTTCCGTATGGCTTCGAGGAGATTCTGGTCAACTATCCGGCATCTCAGGAGGGGAAAGCAGTGCGCTACCAACACTGTTTACAGAACCATAACAGAGATGTTGCTGCTGACCTCTACTCGGGACGTTGTGGATTGGTAGACGGAATACTTTGAAGACCTTCTCAATCCCACCGGCACGCCTTCCAGTGAGGAAGCAGAGTCTGGGGTCTTTGAGTTGGACTCTCCAATCTCTGGGGCCGAGGTCACTGAGGTGGTCAAAGAACTCCTCAGTGGCAAGGCCCCGGGGGTGAATGAGATCTGCCCGGACTTCCTTAAGGCTCTGGATGTTGTTGGGCACGTGGACATCGGGGACAGTTCGACTGGCTTGGCACACTGGGGTTGGTGGTCCCCTTATTTAAAAAGAGGGACTGCAGAGTGTGTTCCAACTACAGAGAGGTTTTGGAGAGGACGGTCCATCGGATTGTCGAACCTTGGATTCAGGAGGAACAATGTGGTTTTCGTCCTGGCCGTGGAACACTGGACCAGCTCTATACCGTTAGGGGAATCTTGGAGGGTGCATGGGAATTTGCTCAACCAATCTATATGTGTTTGTGGATTTGGAGAAGGCGTTCGACCGCATCCTCCGGGGGGACCTGAGGGGGTATTCCGGGAGTATGGGGTACCAGGCCCTTTGATAAGAGCTGTTAGGTCCATGTATGACTTGTGTCAGAGCTTGGTCCTCATTGCTGGCATTGCTTGTTTCCAGTGGGAGTTGGACTCCGCTAAGGCTGCCCTTTATCACCAAATCTGCTCACAAATTTTATGGACAGGATTCCTAGGTGTAGCCAAGGTGTTGAAGGGGTCTGTTTTCATGGCTTAAGGATCAGGGGTCTCATTTATAAAACATTGCATTGAATCCTTACTAAAACCGTACTTAAACTCAGCAAAACAATGTACTTACGCCAAGTAGGTTTGTGATCCATCAAACATGGAGTACGCACAGCTTCACGCAATCTCTGCTTTAGAAATAAGAGACTATCTAGGAATGTGCTCAGGTGTTTTTTGATCACATCCCGCCCTCACCACGCCCACTTTCTGCCATAAATGGTCAACGCAAAGTGCCTTATGGATTTCATGCATCGTGGCTTGTTGCAGCATTTCACCATTAACGATGGTGACCGCGGATCAAGGAAATGCAATTTCACCGAAGCAGAAATTGTTGTACTTGCAGGTGAGGTGGAAAAATTAAAGGAAGTGCTTTTGCTTCAGAGACAGTATGTGTGTGTGTGTGTGTGTGTGTGGGGGGGGGGGGGGGCGTGTTCTGTGTGCGCATGAAGCGGTACAAGTGATAATGCTGCTGGAATTCATAATTTTATCCATCTCAGCAGCAGCACTGCAGGTGCTCTCCATGTCCAAAATGTGCGTAAGCCAGGTCCTTAGTCAACTTAATGTTGCGCACATTTTTCCGCTACGTTTTCTTTTTATAAATCCCAAAGTTTGAGAGGAAAGTTGCTTACACAGTTTTCCGACCCAGCTTTATAAATGAGGCTCCTGACCTTTGCTTTTTGCAGATGATTCATCTGACAGTGATCTCCAGCTTTCGCTGAAGTGGTTCACAGCCAAGTGTGAAGCGGCTGGGAGCCATGTTCTTAAATCGGAAAAGGGTAGAATGCCTTCTCCAGGTCAGGGATGAGGTCCTGCCCCAAGTGGAGGAGTTTAAGTATCTGTGGGTCTTGTTCACGAGTGAGGGAAAGATGGAGCGTGAGATCAATAGGTGGATTGGTGCTGCATCTGCAGTGATGCGGGCGTTGTACCGATCTGTCGTGGTGAGGAGAGAGCTGAGCTGGAAGGCAAAGCTCTCAATTTACCGGTCGGTCTAAGTTCCTACCCTCACCTATGGTCATGAGCTTTGGATAATGACCAAAAGATCAAGATCGCGGATACAAACAGCCAAATTGCGTTTCCTCTGCAGGGTGGCTGGGCTCTCCCTTAGAGATAAGGCAAGAAGCTTGGTCATCCAGGAGGGGCTCGGAGTAGATTCGCTGCTTCTCTATGTCGAGAGGAGTCAGTTGAGGTGGCTCGGGCATCTGGTCAGGAAGCCTCTTGGACGCCTCCCTGGTGAGGTTTTTTTGGGCACGTCCAACTGGAAGGAGACTCAAGGGAAGACCCAGGACACGCTGGAGGGACTATGTCCCTCGGCTGGCCAGGGAACGCCTTGGGTTTCTTCCGGAAGAGCAAGCCCAAGTAGCTGGGGAGAGGGAAGTCTGGGCGTCTTGACTCAGGCTGTTGCCCCCGCGACCCGACTTCAGATAAGCGGCTAAAAATGGATGGACGGACGGATGGATGGATATATAAATGACTGGATGGATGGATGGATGGATGGATATATAAATGACTGGATGGATGGATGGATGGATGGATATATAAATGACTGGATGGATGGATGGATGGATATATAAATGGATGGATGGATGGGTGGATGGTTGGATATATAAATGACTGGATGGATGGATGGACGGACGGAGGGATGGATGGATATATAAATGACTGGATGGATGAATGGATATATAAATGACTGGATGGATGGA